TGATTCTACTTCTATTTTTGCTAGGGCCATTTTTTTTTTAGGGCCATTTCCAGAGACTTAATTTTTTTTTTTAAGATTTTATTTATTTATTTGACAGAGAGAGACACAGCGAGAGAGGGGACACAAGCAGGGGGAGTGGGAGAGGGAGAAGCAGCCTCCCGCTGAGCAGGGAGCCCTATGCAGGGCTCAATCCCAGGACCCTAGGATCATGACCTGAGCCGAAGGCAGATGCCCAATGTCTGTGCCACCCAGGTACCCCTCCAGAGACTTAAATTAAAAAAAAAAATAGTTTTCAGCAGCTTTGCTTGTTTTCCAGGGGGATTGTGTCCAGGGAGCCCCTTATGCTAAGATCCCAGAAGTGGAACTCTGTCATTTACATAGTGTAACAATCTGGTTGGGATTAATACCAGCTTAATTTCAGTAGTATACAAAAACAACTTTGCTCCTGTATAGCTCTGTTCTCCTCCTTCCTTTTGCTGTTATTGACACGGATTATATCTTTATACATTATGTGCTAATCAACCCAGATTTATAATTCTTTATGCAGTTGTCTTTTCAGACCGGGGAAAGAAAAAAATAACTTACTGTCTTTTCTATTTATGTAGTTGCCTTTATCAGTGCTCTTTATTTCTTCATGTGGATTTGAGTTACTCTTTAGTGTCTTAACTTAAACACTGTTAGTATTTATTGTAAGGTAGGTCTGCAAGCTACAAATTGTCTCAATTTTGTTTTTCTCAGAACGTCTTCATTTTTCCTTCATTTTTGAAGGATAGTTTTGCTTGATATAGAATCCTTGATTGACAGGCTGTTTTTGTTTCAAGACTTTAAATATGTCATCGCACTGTCTTCTGGCTTCTCTGGTTTCTGATGAGAAATAGGCTGTTAAATGTATTTAGAATCCTTTGTACATTGATGATTCACTTTTTTCTTGTTGCTTTCAAGATTTCATTCTTGTCTTTCTATAGTTTGATTATGATATGTCTATGTGTGATCTCTTTTAGTTTACCCCACATGGAATTTATTCACCTTTTTGAATGTGTAATGTTTTTCATTAAAGAAGTTTTGAGAAGTTTTCAGCTGTTATTTTTTCAAATGTTATTTTTGCCCTTTCTTTTTCCCCTTTTCCTCTGGGACTCCCATTATGCATATGTTGGTATGCTTGGTGGTGTCCCATAGATCTCTGAGGAACACTATCATTTTTCTTTAGTCTTTTCTTGCATTTCCTCAGATTGGGTAACCTCGATTGATTTTCAAGTTCACTGCTGTTGTTTTTTTTTAAATATGTGTGCTCAAATCTGCTTGAACTCCTCTAGTGAGTATTTCATTTCATTTAGTCTGCTTTTTCAGAATTTGTTTGGTTCCTTTTTTAAAAAAAATAATTTCTATATTTTTATTGGTATTCTCTATTTGATGAGACATCATTCCCTTACTTTGCTTTAGTTCTTTTAGGCATGGTTTTCTTTAGCTCTTTGAACATATTTGAAATGATTAAGATCTTTGTAATAGTTGTAAATCCAAAGTTTGGGCTTCCTCAGGGATAATTTCTTTTGCTATCATCAGCATGCATTTTTTTTCCAACATGCATTTTCTACCTTATAATCTGAAATGGCCACTCAAGCTCCAGCCGTATAGTCTCTATTCCAGGTAGCATGAAGGAAAAAGGGCTGCAGACATGCTTACCCTTTTTAGCTATACTTCCTAGAGGTTGTATATGATACTTTTCCTTATAGCCCATTGGCCAGAATGTTACCTTATGATTACTCCGCGTTTCAAGGGAGTCTAGGAATTGTGGTCATTAATTTGGGTTGCCTTTTGCCTGAGTTTTTTATTAATTAGAAAGAAAAGAAGAATGGGTTTGGGGATATAATTAGCATTTTATTTTTTTACTATAGTCTGCCCCTTTGGTTGTTCTAATATACATGCCTACCCTTGTTTATACACACATGACACATTCACCTCATCTCAAGAGAGGCTACTCCAGTATTTCATTTCGTTACTGCATTCAGCTCAAAGCCCAGGATGTCTGAGTAATGTGCAGTCTTCTCACAAGATAACTATTCACAAAGCAATTAGTGTACAATAGGTGTAATAGAAATAGAATAACAGCAATAAAAAACTATGCAGAAAAGGAGAGAATTAATAATATATAAAAGTCAGGCGCCTGGGTGGCTCAGTCGTTAAGTGTCTGCCTTCGGCTCAGGTCATGATCCCAGGGTCCTGGGATCGAGCCCTGCATCGGGCTCCCTGCTGTGCGGGAAGCCTGCTTCTTCCTCTCCCACTCCCCCTGCTTGTGTTCCTGCTCTCGCTATGTCTCTCTCTGTCAAATAAATAAATAAAATCTTAAAAAAAAAAATATATATATATATATATAAAAGTCCATAGCAATTATTAAATGTTACTGTATAGGAAATTTGAAGACTTTCTGTCCTGGCAGAGGAATCAATTTCTGAATTAAGCATTGTTTTTAAACCTCTGGTATTTATTTGCCTCCACGTCTCACCCATTTCTACCCCACTTTAGCTTAATGGCAATTACAGTGAGACTGTCTGAAACAGTTGGCTTTTGTGAGAAGGCTACCCTAAGGAACCCCCCCCACACACTTTTGTTTTGGTGATTAGGTTCATAGCCTTTATTTCATCTTTTTTCTTTTTTATCCCTGTCACGTGTATCACCCATCCCCCCATCTGTATGTGGCATTAATGGTAAGGGATGAGCACTCAGAATTGAAGGCTGAAAAGCTACTGATCATTGTTATGCAGTGGCAAAACACCTGGTTAAACCATTGCCTGATTGTACTGGAATGCTACTATTTTAAGGGAAACAGTAGGAAAAATTCAGAATGTTGTATGTGTTGTCTGCTTCTAGTAAGTTTTACAACAAAATTATACTGAAGAGGTAAAACTCAGACTAGAGCTAATCAGTCAGTAAGCAGAGATATAAAGGAATACATCTTTGCTAATACATCTCTTTCTTGTGGCCTGCAACCTAAGTTGACTAAAAGCTTCTTCCTTCGAAGCCTTATAGAGTAGAAAAAGTGAACCACTGCACTCCAAAGTGCAGTGGCTGCCAAATGGAAATGAGACTGGAGCTCTGCCATTTAAAGGCTGTGAACCTACTTGATCATGATGTATGATTTTTTTTTTAATGTATTATTGGATTCTATTTGCTAATATTTTGGTGAAGATTTTTGCATCTATATTCATGAGTGGTATTGGCCTGTAGTTCTCCTTTTCTGTGGAGGCTTTATCTGGTTATGGTATCAGGGTGATAACTGGCCTCATGAATTTGGGTGTTTTCCTTCTGTTTTTTTGGAATAGTTTGAGAGCAGGTATTAACTCTTTTTTTAAGACTTTTTTTTTTTTTAAAGATTTTGTTTTTATTTGAGAGAGAAACAGCACGAGAGGGGAGAGGATCAGAGGGAGAAGCAGGCTCCCTGCTGAGCTGGGAGCCTGATGCAGGACTCGATCTCAGGACTCCGGGATCATGACCTGAGCCGAAAGCAGTCGGCTTAACCAACTGAGCCACCCAGGCACCCTTAACTCTTCTTTAAATATTTGGTGAATATACCTGGGAAGCCATCTGGTCCTGGACTTTAGTTTTGGGGAGTTTTTGAGTATTGATTCAATTTCGTTGCTGGTAATCAGTCTGTTCACATTTTCTATTTCGTCCTGCTTTAGTTTTGGTAGTTGATATGTTTACAGGAATTTATCCATTTCTTCTAAGTTGTCCAGTTTGTTGGCATATAGGTTTTTATGATACTCTTTTACGATGGTTTGTGTTTCTGTGGTGTTGGCTGTTATTTCTCCTCTCTAATTAGTGATTTTCTTCATTTGGGTCCTCTTTTTTTTTTTTTTGATGAATCTAGCTAGATGTTTATTAATTTTGTTGATCTTTTCAAAGAACTAGCTCCTGGTTTCATTGATCTGTTCTATTGTTTTTTAGTTTCTATGTCATTTATTTTTGCTCTGATTTTTATTATTTCCTTCCTTTTGCTGGGTTTGGGTTTTGTTTGTTCTTTTTCTAGCTCCTTTAGGTGTAAGGTTAAGTTGTTTATATGAGTTTAGCTCTAGTCTGAGTTTTACCCCTCTGGTATAAATTTTTTTTTTTTTTTTAAAGCAGTTCTCTTTCTTTCTTTCTTTCTTTCTTTCTTTCTTTCTTTTTTTTTTTTTCTTTCTTTCTTTCTTTCTTTCAAGATTTTATTTATTTATTAGAGAGAGAGCACAAGCAGGGGGAGCTGCAGAGGGAGAAGGAGAAGCAGGCTCCCTGCTGAACAGGGAGCCCAATGTGGGGCTCCATCCCAGGACCCTGGGATCATGATCTGAGCTGAAGGCAGCTGCTTAACCAACTGAGCCACCCAGGTGCCCCATCTCCGGTATAATTTTCTTGAAAGTTACTAGAAGCAGGCAACACATAGGACATTCTGAATTTTTCCTACTGTTTCCCTTAAAATAGTAGCATCCCAGTATAATCGGGCAATGGTTTAACCAGGTGTTTTGCTATTGCATAACAATGATCACTAGCTTTTCAGTCTTCAGTTGTGAGTGCTCACCACTTACTGTTTTATTAAGCAATGCCACATATGTTACATTGTTTCTCATGAAGCATCTTACTCATAGCACCAAATTCTGTATTAGGATTATATCCAACCATTTGTGACCCCCCCAAAAGTAAAATAATAGTGGTTTTAAACATGGTACAAGTTTATTTTTTTCTTGTAAAAGGGATCCAGAGGTGGGTAGCCCAGGGCTGTTGCGGTGCTCTGTAATGTCAGGGAACCATTTTCTTTCTGTTTTTATTGCCTTGCCCTTCTCAACATGTGGCTTCTTTCTCATAATCTAACACGTCTGGTTGCACTCCAGCACCTCATCCATGTTCCAGCCAGCAGGAAGGATGAGGGTCCAGAGAATAATGTACACAATTTCTTTAAGGACATTTCCTGGAACTCAGTCTTAATACTTTTACTATTATTGTCCAGTTGGCTTAAACTCAGTCACATGGCCGAGCTGCAGGACAGGCTGGGAAATGCAGTCTTTATTCTGGCATGCACTTAGCTGTTACTGGGAAGAAGGGGAAAGTGGATATTGGATCACAACCTCCAGTACCTGCCATAATCATCCAGGTGAGATTTTTTTACTTCCTGCTCGTTGGCAGTCTCTGATATTTAAAAACGCTCATAATTTTCTTCCCATTGTATTCTTTTTTTCATGCCATCTAAGATTTCTGAGTTACTATGTTCAGATGCTTTCTTCTCTCTGAGATATAGATCACCAGTGTGCTTTCTTTCTCCTTGATTGATTTAGAGCCTTGCTATTTTGAGATATGCCACCAACAAGCTAGTTGAAGGTTTTCACGCTGGTGTGCACTTACCTTTTCTCTTCTTGCTACCCATATCATGCATGTTACCTGTACAGACGCCTTCAAAATGTGCCACACTGACTGCTGCTGTCATCTGTCTCAGCGTTTTATAAATTCTCCAGTAATTGCTTTTTCCATGTAGTTGTAATGTGGAAACTCCTGCAGTGCTTTGAAGAAAACTTTTGTTATTATTTGCTTTGTTTGGGAAATGAATCTCTTTGTGGCCACTCTCTCTCCTTTATTTTAAAGCTTTAAATATAATTGTACTGAAGTTAAAATTGTATTTAGTTATGTTTTACATTTTACTCCATCGGAAATTCTCAGCACCTTTTTAGAAATAATTGGCTGAGAGTAATATACTTTGAAGCAAGAGGCTATTGGAAGGGAAGATTAATGACCTGTGAATTAGGAGCTGGTTTTTTTTTTTTTTAATTTTAAGTTTTTATTTATTTGAGAGAGAGAGAGGGAGAGAGAATCTGAAGCCGACTCTGCACTGAGCACAGAGCCCAAGGCGGGGCTCAATCTGGCAGCCTTGAGATTATGACCTGAGCCAAAACCAAGAGCCAGACGCACTGAGCCACCTAGGCTCCCCTTAAGAGCTGTTTTTATTTAAGTTTTGCTGAGATTCATTATGTTTCCAGAGATTTTACCTTGATTGAAATCTTTTAATGACTGTGAGAATCTAAAAATGCAATTTTATTTTTATTTTTTTTAAGTAGGCTCCACACCCATGGTGGAGCCCGGTGCAGGGCTTGAGCTCATGACCTTGAGATAAAGACCTGAGTTGAGATCAAGAGTCGGACACTTAACTGACTGAGCCACCCAGGTGCCCCTAAAAAGTCATTTTTAAACACATTCTCTGCACCATATACCATGAATGTAATGTAACGAGGCAGTGCTTTTGTATAGTAATGGATCTTGCCAGAATAGATTCATTTAATTAATAAGGTTGCTTTTATAATTATTCAGAAAAATAATTGATGGGGCGCCTGGGTGGCTCAGTCGTTGGGTGTCTGCCTTCGGCTCAGGTCATGATCCCAGGGTCCTGGGATCGAGCCCCGCATCGGGCTTCCTGCTCAGTGGGGAGTCTGCTTCTCCCTCTCCTGCTCCTCCTGCTTGTGCTCTCTCTCTTGCTGTATCTCTCTCTGTCAAATAAATAAATAAAATCTTAACAACAACAAAAAAAGAAATAATTGATGAATATGCTGGTGATATACCTCGGTATTTGAGTTCTAAGCTGCTTTCATAGGTATGTGCATTGTCCTAAGGGTCCCTCATTGTGGCACCAGTATGTGCCTAGGAGCTGTAGCCTGCCTTTTCTGCTTGACCCATGACATGCTAGTCGTAAGTATACATTTCTCAGAGTGAGGGTTGCTGTGTTTGGATTTTCCTGGTTGTAGCAGTTTCTGGATTTTTTTCTTTTCTGTGGCAAGATGTTTTAATTCCAGTGTTAAAAAATATTTGGAGGTGCCTGGGTGGCTCAGTCGGTGTAGCATCCCACTCTTGGTTTCTTCAGCTCAGGTCATGACCTTAGGGTTGTGAGATCGAGCCCCGTGTTGGGCTCTGCACCCAGCTCAGGGTCTGCTCTCTCCTCCTTCTTCTTCCCCTCCCCCGACTTGCACACTCACTCTCGCACTCTCAGTAAACAAATAAATAAATAAAATCTTTTAAAAATATTTGGTAAAGTGTTCAGGAAAATGTTCATGGCTCCTTTTATAAAGAAGGGAGCATATTGATACATAGAGGGAGAGCACATTGGGAAACCTAAGGATATGAGGCTCTGGCACTGGAAAATAGGGCTTCTCTTCAAACACTCTATTGTAGTGTGGAAACAAAGCACAATACTGTAAATGTCTTCCCTTTCCCCCAACTGCTGCGTGTCTTCATCCTAGGTGAGGTTTGTCTCAACAAGTTTTTCATTCCAAAGTTAGTATGTTCAGGAATAACTATAGTTGACCCTTGAACAGCACAGATTTGAACTGTGCGAGTCCACTTATATGTGGATTTTTTTTGATAAATACAGTACAGTTCTGTGTTTTCCTTATTCATAACATTTTCTATAACTTACTTTTTTTTTTTAAAGATTTATTTATTTGACAGAGACACAGCGAGAGAGGGAACACAAGCAGGGGGAGTGGGAGAGGGAGAAGCAGGGTTCCCACCGAGCAGGGAGCCCCATGCAGGGCTTGATCCCAGGACTCTGGGATCATGACCTGAGCTGAAGGCAGATCCTTAACCATCTCATCCACCCAGGCGCCCCTCTATAATTTACTTTATTGTAAGAATACAGTATGTAAAATATAGTATATAAAATATGTGTTAATCAACGGCTTATGTTAACAGGAAGGCTTCTGATTAACAGGAGGCTGTTTAGTAGTTGAGTTTTTGGAAATTCAAAAGTTTTGTGCAGATTTTCAACTATGTAGGGGATGGCACCCCAACCCCCTGTGTTGTTCAACAGTTAACTGTAGTTTTTTTTCATATTATTCATATCTGAGCAGGATAACTACAGCAGTTTTCTGTATTGTGGCCTGGCAACGTTTCAGGTTGTCCTGGCTTATTGGAGTATGTTTTTGTTGCAAGTGTGGAAGTGATCAAAGAATTCCTAACTTTGAAAAAAAACATTCCTGGCTTATCTCATGATGAATTACATGATGTTGGAGGAGACTGCACAAAATACGTTTAGATCATATTTAAATATATTCTGGTCTTTTATATGTACCTTGTAGACTTCTAAACATCCATCATTACTTCTCTTAGAGAAGGAATCTCTAAAATATAATTCCACATTTAAAGATTGGAGTGCATTTGAATACCATAGAGGTGGGGTTAGGAATTGTAAGGAAAGCTATAGTGTTTGTGGGCATGAATATAGTTCAAGGAATGTAACAAGTCACCTTGTCAAAGTAGTGCTTTCAATTTCAAGCAGCCTTTTTGTGGTGAAGGGGGAATTTGGGTTAGGCATTAAGGCAAATTGTCAAATTTCTGTTAAATGTTTCCAATAAAATACCACCTTATAGTTAAACTCTTTGTACTTTTCAGAATAACTTCCCATAAGACCCTTTAAGATAACAGGATAGGGTGACAATTTAATTTTTATTCAGAGTGATATGCTCAAGGTCATATCACCAAACTCAGCAATATGATGTATTAAGATCACATGTCATAACTTTTCCCAAAAACATTATTGCGATAATTACTAGGGGGCCAGCAAAATGGTAAATTATATACCACACTCAAAGTCAGGCAGTAGGCTAAGATTTTTTTTTTCTTTTTAAAGATTTATTTATTTGAGAGAGAGAGCATGCATGCCTGTGGGGGAAGAGGGGCAGATGGAGAGGGAGAGAGAATCCCAAGCAGACTCTAAGCTGAGTGTGGAGCCCCATGTGGGCCTTGATCTCAGGACCCTAAGATCACAACCTGAGCTGAAATCAAGAGTCGGGTGCTTAACCTGCTGCACCACCCAGGCGCCCCCAGGCTAAGGTTTTCTACACAGCTGCCAAAGTGATCTTTTAAAAATATACTTCATATCATATCATTTTATTACTTAAAAAACCTCCCAGTGTCATCCAGTTTTTTTTTAAGAATATAGTTCTCCCCTCCCACTGTGCTCTCTGCCCATGCTGGTCTTTCCTTGAAGATGCCAAGCTCATTCCCACCTCCTGGCCTTTGAACTTACTTCCTCTGCATGGCTAGCTGCTGCTTATCAAATTCCGGTAGTGCCAGATTGTGTAGTGGTTAGGGGCACAGGTTCTCAAACCCAGTTGCCTGTTTTCAAGTTATGTGACTTCTTAGTGCCTTCATTTCTTCAACTGTAAAAAAATGGGATGATAAAAGTAAATATGTCTTAATACATGGAATTTGAGAAACAATACAGGATCATAGAGGAAAGGAGGGAAAAATTAAACAAGATGAAACCAGAGAGGGAGACAAACCATAAGAAACTCTTAATCTCAGGAAACAAACTGCGGGTTGCTGGAGTTGGGGGGGGGGCGGTGGGAGGGATGGGGTGGCTGGGTGATGGACATTGGGGAGGGTATGCGCTATGGTGAGCGCTGTGACTTGTGTAAGACTGATGAATCACAGACCTGTACCCCTGAAACAAATAATACATTATATGTTAATAAAAAAAAGTATGTCTTGGTGTTATAAAAATTGAATATGTATACATGAAGTGTCTCATTTAATAGTAAGTGTTCATTAAGTGTTGGCTATTACTTAGTAAGTCTCACCTCAGATATTACCTCCTCAATGAGACCTTTCTTGTCCATTTCATCAGAATTAGCCACCCTGCCCCCTCCCTACACATGATACTTAATTATCTGAAATTATTCTGTTGTATATTATTTACCTCTATTTTTATGTTTCTCCCACTATAATGTTAGCTCCATGAAAGCAGGGATGTTTTCTATCTGTTCCACTTCCAGTGCCTAGAACAGTGCCTGATCAGTATATATTTATTGAGTGAGTTAATGGAAGTCTGGTCCACCACAGAAGGCCTTCTTAGGTGACCTAAGACTGAAAGGCAGTTTGGGCCACTCCATTGAGGGAAGATGTTCTCATGTATACCCAGCACCATTAGATTATGTTCTAGCTGCAGATATCTGGCGGGGGTTTGTCAAGAATGGTGTAGAGGTTATCAACAGAAAAAGAGTTGAGGGATGCCAGGTGGCTCAGTCGGTTGAGCGTCTGACTTTGGCTTAGGTCATGATCTCAGAGTCCTGGGATTAAACCCCAAGTCATGTACAGTGGGGAGTCTGCTTG